TGGGTGCTGCAAGAGAGATCTGAATCAGGATGTTCTGACCACCAAGGGGAGTCAAATTTTAGGGGACTCATATTTTAGGGGTCTCAAAATTGAAAAGGCTGAAAACAATAAAAAAGCAGTAATGGCACACTCTGGGAGTTTGTGCTCACTTGAGAGCTAATATAATTTTGCAGAATTTTTGCAATATAGCAACAATGGGTGCTGCTGCTACTTACCATGTAAATATTTAATTTATATGCCTCATTCTGCAAAGTAATTTAGCTGAGAAACGGAAAAAATGTCCATCGCTGAAAATACAACCATAAAGCTCAAAAATCCTGGAACAGAAAATGAAGCCAGAGTACCTTTTTGAAATTCCTAATAAAAATGGAGATGCCAGAATATGATTGCCCAGACAGGACATCAAATGGTCTAGAGAGCCAGCCAAACTGACCCCCCCCCCCACAGGTGCCAATCAATGCGGCTGCACAACACCCCCTTCTTGTGAGAGCTGCAAGAGTCACTATTTGGCTTCAGAGTTAGTAGCGGTTCCTCTATGAGTCCCTGTGAGGAACATGCTAAACCTCTGACGCCACGGTTGTCTGGGAGGGCTTCTGACAGCTATCACTTTGGCCACCTCAGTGATAGATACACGCCCCTCCTGACAGGAACTGGGTATAGCTAGTCTTCACTAGACCAGGGGAGACAGGAGAGCAGCCTTCCAATATTTGGGGGGCTACCCCAGAGAGGAGGAGGGGGTTAAAGGCACCCGAAGGCCAGACAAGGAATAATGGATGGAAACTGACCAAGGAGAGATTCAACCTGGAAATAAGGAGGAGAAATTTCCTGACAGGGAGAACAATCAACCCGTGGAACAGAAGTTGCCTTCGGAAGTTGTGGGAGCGTCATCTCTGGAGGCTTCCAAGAAGAGGTTGGACTCCCACCTGTCAGGAAGGGTGTAGGGCCGTGATGGTGAACCTATATGCAGGAAGTGGCATGCAGAGCCATCTCTGCCAGCACTTGAGCTGTAGCCCCAGCTCAGTTCCACTGTGCAGGTCTGCGCACCTTCCGCCAGCCGGTTGATTTTGGGGTATCTGCTGTGCACGTGCAGGGGGTGGGGTGCATGCAGGAGACGTGCATGCAGAGGGGGCGGGGTTCGTGCGTGCATTGCATTATGGGTGCAGGCATGCATGCGCATGCATGCACGCACTTTCAGCACATGACAAAAAGGTTAGCCGTCACATGTACGGTCTCTCTCGGGCGGGGTTGGACTAGATGACCTACAAGGTCCCTTCCAACTGATGGATCTGTTAAATCTGACAGGTCAAAGCTGCCTAGGAAAGTGGGGGGGAGAATGTGCTCTTCCATGAGGGAGGGGATGGTCCTGACAAGTATTCTTTTTTTTAATAAAGTTTTATTTGGGTTTTCACACACACAAAATACAAGTAAAACATCTTTTTTGAAAATAGCATGGTCCCGGGTTGAACTTCTTTATACAGACACAAACTTAATTTCATGCTCATTTTTGTGTTCTATTCCATATCTTTTTTCCCCTCTTTTAATTTTCTCAATTTTATTTTGATTATCTCATCTCAATTCAAATCATTATATTTATACTTTTGTCTGTTCTGTTTCAATTTCATATTATCTTTTCTCATTAAACAAATTTTCTCCTGTAGTAACTAATTGGAGTATGACACCTTTATATCTTTTAATTACATCCATTCAACTCTTATTTAAACTTCAATATATACCTTAAGGTTATGACCCTCAATATAATACATAATACATAACTTCCAATTGAATTCTGCTTGGTACATTCTTATAATACACACTATATTCTTTTTTTAAAAAAGGATTATCAATATATGTAATTATAAACCCTCATTCCATTCCAATTCCGTTCTATCATTAATAATCAATAATCAAAGATGTCTTAACATCTTTAACATTTCTTTTCAATTAAATATCATACTTCCTTAAAGACACATATAATCTCCATAATTAATTTTTCCCTTATTTCTCTTCACGTTTTGTAAATCATTAAATATTCATCTTGTTACATTTATTTATTGACAAGCATTCCACTAAGTTATGATAACTATTTTATCAAACATTTTAATCATACATTGTTTCATATTTTCTGAAATTATTTCTATTTCTAACAATACTATCTTATGTACCTTTGCAGAATCCCTTTTTCCATTAGATTTTCACCCATTATCTCTAAATAGGCCGTTTCTCTATATTTTGTTTCTGTCCTTTATAACTTCTTTTCCTTTCTTTCTTCCCTCTCTTCTTCTCCCTCCCCTTTTTACCCCCTTGTCTCTCTACTTCTAATTCTCTCTTCTGCATTTCCCTTTTCTGTTGCTTTCTGATTTTATACTTATTTTTCACTCTATTCTTTTTTTGGGTTGTTTTTCCCAATCTTAAAATTTCCATTCTCTTTCCCCCCTTTCCTTTCCCCCCCCCCACCTAAGATTACTTGTTCATTAAAGATGGCTCCTTCTTTGTTCCAATCTTCTTGTTCTGCAGGCATTTCTTCTTGTTTCTCATAGTTCCAAATCTCCATTTCTAAGAACTGAAATACGAAGCCAAAAGAACCTCTCTCTTCTTGTGCATCTTCTTTCTACTTTTTAAGTTCCGTTTTCAGTTCTTCTAAAAGTGGAGCCATTTTAAACAGTTTTAAACAACCACCCGATTGATTTTAGTCATTCAAATGCAATAACCAAGAATCCAGAGATCACCAAGTAATCCAAATAGTCCCACGCTGTTTCTTCTTATTTCTTTTTTCACTTTCTCTTCCTGGAGTTTTACCAAAACTTTCTCTTATCTTCCTCCTGCACATTCTTTTCCAGTCGAGTTCTTCTTAGTGGTGGCCATTTCTGACCGCTACAACCGCCTTCAGGAAAGGGAGTAATGGCCAGCTGGGGAGGAGAGATGCGGCTCTCCTCAACCCTACAGGCAGTCTCCCCCTTCTTCACCACCTCTACGGGGTGGCTTAGCCCCGAAAGCAGCTGGCTCGGGGCGCTCCAGCGGCGAGCACGGATCGAAACCAAGCAGAGACGCAGTTTCGGTCTGTCACCGAAGAAGCTCAAACCGGAGTCTGGTCCGGTGCCAAGTATTAAGGAGGCAGCCCACTTCTCCAGGGGCCATCACTTGATCCAGCCCACTGGACAGTTGTTATCCAGTCTTCCAGGGCTGGAAAAACTGGTGGCTTCGGGGGACTCTGGATGAAGCGTGTCAGTGCATTTACGGCATGACTACCATTATGCGACAACCCAGGAGCAAAACACAGCACATAGAGCCGTAGACATTTAACAGTAGTTTATACACAAGTTATATACAGACATATATGTGGTAGGCAAAATACCTTACAAGCAATCTTTCCTCTTCTCTACATGAACTCTGCAATGAATACCGGACACAAGGAGAGAGGACATGCCCTCTAATGGCTGCCTTTGTATAAAACCCATAGAACCCATCCCCCGTCTTAAAGGGAAATACCCATGCTATGCTGATTCGTTCTTATTGCATCATCCCATATTGCATCGGCTTCACTGCTGGTCGGCTCTTAAATCCCAAGACCTTAACAAAGCGGATTATCTGGACTCAAACGAAGGCAGGAGACCAAGATGGCGTTGAATGTACTCTCGGATAGCCTCTGCTAGGAGTGAGAAGGGCTAGTACTTGCATATTTGCTCTTGACCACTGAGCGGCCTTAGGTACTAGCAACCATGGCCTTTTTTCTGGACTGATTTGGCAGTGGGAAGCACTGTGTTGTGCTGGCTCACGTTCCTCTGGGGCTGGTTCTAGTCTCTGTTGATAAGAGGAGAAAGGCCCAGCCCCCAGTCCCTCTTTTGTGGGGTCACAGGGCCCCCCTCCTAATTAAGATTCGTATGAGGCGCTGGGGGAGCTGCTCTGATGGTTTGGGATAAAATTTCGCTAAGTATGTGGAGGATTCCCGGTTCTACGTGACTTGAAATCGCGGCCTGCCGCTTTCTAACCTGGTGCCTCTTTGGGGAGACCAAAGGGTTTCTCCCTTTTTATCATAGGTTCTCACTGGTATCAATGGCGTCCTCCGTCAGGGCCAAAAAAGGGCCAGGTGGAAGAGGGCCAAGCCCACCCCCCACCCTACCCCTGGCCACCTCTTCAGGGAAAGAGGCCCCCACAGATCCAGTCCACTAGAGGGGGACAGCTGGGGGCCCCCTCCTGACAGGGTTCAAGGAGGTGGGCCAGAGCCAGCTCCTCCCTGCTTCTAGCCCCATTGCATGAGAATTTGTCCTCTGCCCAAAAGCACAAAGAATTGAGGAGGAATTTCCTGTGAGTGAGAACAATTAACCAGTGGAACTTCTTGTCTCCAGAAGTTGAGGGTTGTTGCTCCAACACTGGAGGTTTCCTAGAAGAGATTTGTCCAGAATGGTAGAGGATCTCCTGCTTGAGCAGGGGGGGTTGGACTAGATGACCTCCAAGGGGTTCTGTATTTTGCAGCTGGGCTGCGGATGGAAGTGAAGCCTGCCTGGGAATAAATGAAACGCCTGCTTTGTGGAGAAGCTCAAGGCGTGCGAGGTCCAGTTGCTCTCAAGCATGGGGCCCGCCCGAGTCCTCCGGCGAGCCAGGCCGCCCCACCATCCCAGCCCTACGCGGGAGCCGCCGAGGGAGGCACCGATCCTCCCAGGACGACCCTACCCACCTTCTCCAGCCCCCGCGGCTCCCGGAGCGCTGCAGCGGAGCTTCGGGCTCGCGCTTCCCTAGAATGGATGTGCACCCCAGGCCCTCCCGCCGGCCAGCAGTGTGAGGTAACGAAGGGGGCGCGGGGGCCCCGTCGCCGCTGCTGGGCGAAGCGGGGGGGCGCAACTGCGGAAGGAGAAGGGCTGCTCCGTGCAGCGAGGCGGAGGGAGCCTCCCCGACGGCTCTCCAAAGACACGCGCCTCCCCGCAAGCTCCGGTCGACGGGAGGAGTCGGAGCCTCGGCGCGGCCTCCGAGCACGCGCAAAGGGCCTCCTCTCTCCGCCCCCTCCGTCACGTGACAGCTGGCGCCTGACTCCGGGCAGCGCTGGTGGGGATGGCGCTGCTGGAGCTCCGGCGCGAGGCGAGGGGCCGTCCTGTCGTCCTCGCCCGCGGCGCCTGCCTGAATCCCCCTCCGCCGCATCGTCCCGGCCCGACCGGGCGCTTCCGCTTGCCGCCGCCGCCGCTGCTGCTGCTGCTTTCGGCAGCCTTCCTCCGCTCCGGCGCAGCAGCCGCCCGGGCTCCGGAGCCGGACCAGCCCTTCCGGTGAGCGAGAAGCTCAGGGGTGAAGCCGGTGGGGCTGCGGGCGTCAGGAGACTCGGCCGGGCCGGTCGCACCGGGGTTGGATCCTTTCCGCCCCTGCAGAGGTGCCGGGGCTCTCGGGCCGTGACCCTCTCCGTCTCCTCCCAGGATCCCCGACGGGTGGACCTCTCTGGGCCGCGTGGCCCCCGCCGAGCAGCTGAGCCTGACTTTTGCGCTTCGGCAGCGGAACGTAGAGCGGCTGAGCGAGCTGGTGCGCCGCGTCTCCTCGCCCGACTCGCCCGACTACGGTATCGGCTGGGGACCCCCGGCCCCCGGTGGGAGAGGCTTTAGGGGCCCAGTTCCGACTTCCAGCCTGGTAGCCGGGGACCCTAGAAGCGGGAGGGGCGTCTAGTTGAGGCGGCTCGACCACCCATCCGCCGTCTACGTCTGAGGAGGCCGGCCTCTACCCGCAACTTTCTCCCAAGGAGGGCAACCCAGGATTTCGCTCGTCCAGCGGGCAGCCGCCTCTTTCCTGGGGATATGGGGTCGTTTCTGCAGGGGGTGGGAGGGACGGTGGTTCCAGGAAGCTTTGCCTCCAAGGGTGGGAATTTCAGAGGCCAGACCAGCCTTGGATGGGGGGCATTGCTGCCCTATACCCTTCCACAAAGGGCATTGCTGCCCTACACTGACTGGTGCCCTGGAAGAGCCCTGGAGGGGGGGGGATGAGGAACAGAGGAGCGCAGCACAACCAGCCCCCTCCCAAACCTCCTGTGGGGACGTGGGCCAGGAGGACCACCCCCTGAAGACGTGTCTCTTCTCCCGACCCCTTGCCCAGGGCACTTCCTCTCCCTGGCCGAAGTGCGCTCCTTCATCTCCCCCTCTCCTCTGACGCTGGGCAGCGTGGACAAGTGGCTGGCCGCTCATGGGGTCCGCGACTGCCAGAGGGTCAGCACCCTGGACTTCCTGCAGTGCTCGGTGCCAGCCGGGTGAGTTGGGCCATGTTTAGGGAGGCCAACTGGCCAGCCGGCAAAAAGGTGGGGGGGGGGGAAAGGGGGGCTTTGGCTGAGCTCTGGATTTCTGTCTGCAGCACTGCTGAGCGCCTGCTCCCGGGAGCTCAGTTCCACCGCTATGGTAAGGATGCTCGCAGGGTCGTAAGGTCCCCTCTGCCTTACCTGCTTCATCAGGACCTAGTGGACCACGTGGACTTTGGTAGGGGGGCTTTGGTGAGGAGGGGCTGGGTGGGCCTCGTCTGCCGTACGTGACAATGACCTCCCTTTTCTTTCTCCCCCCTTCTAAGTGGGGGGGCTGCACCGTTTCCCAGCCGAACGGAAGGTGGTGAGCCAGGCCTGGGCTGTGGAAAAGCCACCACTGGGAGAGGACAGGCGGTCCAGTTTCCATCTGGGTGTGACACCGTCTGTGCTCCGCCAGCGATACAACCTGACCCACTTGGATGTGGGCAGTTTCTCGCGCAACAGCCAGGCCTGTGCCCAGGTAGGGTCCCAGCCTTTCCGCTCGGCATTTGGAGGGCAGGGGGCTGGCAGGCTTGGCTGTCTCCATGCCCGGTGTGCAACTCTCTGGGCTCTGCTGGAGGGCAGCCTCTCAGCCCTACGGCTTCTTCCCTGCCAGTTCCTAGAGCAGTACTTCCACCAGGCCGACCTGGCTGAATTTATGCAGCTCTTTGGCAGCACGTTCCCCCACCGCTCCCGGGTTGACCAAGTCATTGGGCCCCAGGGCTCTGGCTTGGCTGGCTTGGAGGCCAGTCTGGACGTGGAGTACCTCATGAGCACAGGTGCCAACATTTCCACCTGGGTCTTCAGCAATGCAGGTATTCTCCTCAGCCAGGCCCAGCTGGGAACACCGGTGAGCACAGGCCAGCTGAGGTTGGCCATGTCTCCTGACCTCTGCCATTGCTGCTGGGGCACCGCTGGAGCAGTGGGGCTCTGGCCTGTTTGGGCTCACCTGTGCAGCGGCCCAGGAGGGGCCAGAGGCTGTGTGGGAGGGGCTTTGTGGAGGTGGGGAGGGTTGACTGGCCGAAGGGCTCCTCCTCCTCCTCCTAGGTCGCCACGAGAGCCAGGAGCCCTTCCTACAGTGGTTGCTCCTGCTCAGCAACACCAGTGGGCTGCCGTGGGTCCACTCAGTCAGCTACGGGGACGATGAGGACAGCCTCTCTCAGGCCTACATGAAGCGGGTAAACACAGAGTTCATGAAGGCTGCTGCCCGCGGCATCAGCATCCTCTTTGCCTCAGGTGCGTGCAGCCCCCCTCCCCCCAGGCTGGGAGCAAAGGGTGGCTACCCCATGCCTAGATGCCACTGCAGGGCAGCTAGCAGGGCAGCCTTGCCAAGGCGAGCAGTGGGTGGCAAGCCCTGACCCGAGGAGAGCTTCTGGCAGGGCCTCTTCTCCCCCACTTCCTTGATCCTGGTTTGTCCTCCCTAAAAAGCCATCATTCAATCCCACCTGCCTGGACAACCTTCGCCCAGTCCCCCATCTTTCTGAGGAAGGTGGTGGAAAAGTGGCTTCTCGGCAGCCACTCCGGGGGTCCTGGAGGAAAGAGATGCCCTGGAGCCCTTTCAGCCGGGGTTCAGGCCCAGCGGTGGGACGGAGACCGCCTTGGTGGGGGTGGGATCGGGCCGTGACCTTGACATCTCAGTGGCCTTCGGTACCGTTGACCATGGTAGCTTTTTCCATGGTATCTTTTTGGGCCAGCTATGTGGGATGGGGCTGGCCTCAGAGTTTTGCGCTGGTTCAGCTGCTTCATCCAGGGTCAATCCCAAGGGGTGTTGATAGGAAGAGCGAGGCCCAGCCCTCTGACCATGCACTTGCAGTGTCCCGGGGGCCCTGAAACTCTCTCCTGTCCCACTCAACATCTGTATGAGGCTGTTGGGAGAGTCCCTCCGTCACCCGGGGTGACCCCGCTCCACACCTCTGAACATTGGGGACCCGTGGGATGTGGATTCTGCCCTCTCACAATGCCTGGAGTCCGTGTGAACCTGCCTGGAAGGCAACAGACTTCAACACAACCCTGGCAAAACGGAGTGGTTTGGGGTCTCAGGATCTGTTCGTCATCCTTAACCATGGACAGGGTTGCACTAACCCATCCAGACCCGGTTGGCAACTCGGGGTTCTCCTGGATTTGCGTCTCCTGCTTGAAGAGCAAGCGGTGGTCATGACCAGGAGAGCTTTTGCACGGCTCTGGTTTGGGCCTTAGCTGCGGCCTTTTCTGGATCAGGACTTCTCGAGCTCTGGATTTCTACAATGCGCTATTCACGGGGCTACCCTTGAAATCCATTTGCAAGCTTCAGCTGGCACCAAGTGCAGCAGTGAGAACAATCTTTGGGGCTCCTAGGACGGCCCGTGTGACCCACTCTCTGCTCCCCGAACTGCACTGGCTCCCAGTCTGCTTCTTGAGTGCACTGCAAGGTGTTGCTTATGACCTTTGAACCCCTCAGTGGCACATCGGTACCCGATGAACCGCCTCGTCCTGCTAGGCAAGCCCTCCTACTCATGCCAGCAGAGAAGGGCTACTTCAGATCCCATTGGTCAAAGAACTCCTAAATATGGGGACCCAGAAGAAGAGCCTTCTGCCCTTTGGCACGGCCTGCCCTCCTGGGTGAGGTCTACCCCAACCTCCTTTCCTTCTGTAAGAGCCTGAAGAACTGGCCCTGCCACTTGGCCTGTGGTCCAGACCGGGGAGGGGGAGGGGGCTTCCACACTGGCGGGGGCTGTTGGATTGATGGCAGACTCCACTCCCCCACCCCCTTTGCTTTCCACCTGCCCATTGTTTTGGTAATCATATCTAGAGGGATAAGATAACTTTTATTGCCATTTTTTTTACTGCGAGCACACTGGGACACATTAAAAATGAAATTCTGTTGCTTGCTCTCAAAAGAAAGTGTATATCTGCCCGTACCTATACATACACACATACGCATGCTATATACACACATATTGTGTTCTTTTTCATTCTTTATTTTACTGTCCTGTTATTTCAGTTTACACTCTTGTTGTTGTTTTCCTTTGTATTGTTGTAAGCCACCTAGAGTAGTTCCACAGTAAGGAGGCAAATAAACTTAACAATCAAATAAAACATTAAGTGGCTGGAAATGGAGGAGGAAAGTGACCAGTCTTACTTTGACCCCCTCCCTTAGGTGACTCTGGGGCCGGCTGCCGGGCGATCTCGGGGGGCAAGCATGTCTTCCGCCCCAGCTTCCCAGCCTCCAGGTGAGGAGAAGGGCCCTGGGGTTCTTTGGGCACCCAGCCCGTTTCCTCTGAAGCGACGGGGTGGGCAGAATGCGAAGGGGTTGGGGGTTGCAGCCAAGACCAGCAGAATTTGATCTGCCTGGCTCCCAGGACCCTCAAGCACCTATCGTGCAGGCACCCACCTCTGGGTGGGCGTCTGTCCCCTGCCTGCCTCAGGTGAGGTGGGTAGCTGGAGGCCACCCAATGGTTCTCCTGCTTTGCAGCCCTTACGTGACAACTGTTGGAGGCACGGCCTTCCAGCAGCCCTTCCTGGTAGGCGCTGAGGTGGCGGACTACATCAGTGGAGGCGGGTTCAGCAACGTCTTCCCCATGCCCGACTACCAGGTGAGCCAAGGGGCTGTGCCACTCCCCACCCTGAGGGCCCTTTGGTGGCAAAGCATAATGGCTGTGGGGGGAAGTGGCCCACAGAGAGGATGGGGCCGGTGTGATTGTGCTTGCGGGGCAGGAGGGTGGCAGCGTGCTGGAGCAGCAGTGGACAGACCGCCCCCTTTCCTGCCCACAGGTAACGGCTGTGAAGCGTTTCCTGAGCACGTCGCGTCGGCTGCCCCCCGCCAGCTACTACAACAGCACAGGCAGAGCTTATCCGGATTTGGCAGCCCTCTCGGACAACTACTGGGTGGTGACCAACCACCTCCCCATGCCCTGGGTCTCGGGCACCTCTGTGCGTATGCAGCCCTCGCTCCCTGCTGGCCTTCTCCCGGAGCCTCGGTTGCCTTTTGGCTGGGCTGAGGAGCCCGCCGGCCCCCGGTGACCTTCCTGCTTCCTCCCCCATTGCAGGCCTCCACTCCCGTGGTGGGGGGCATCATTGCCCTGATCAATGACCGGCGCCTCCAGAGAGGGCTGCCTGCCTTGGGGTTCCTCAACCCTGCCCTGTACCGGCTCCAGGAAGGAGGGAACAGCACTGCCCTCTATGACGTGAGTGCCGGGAAAGGGGGAGGGCAGCTTGGGAGGCCGATCCCTGGCGGGAGGGGCAGCCTGTGAACTTGAGGTCAGGCACGGCAACTACAAAGAGGGGCGGGCTTGGCTGAGCGGGATCCTGGATATTGGGCATGTGGTCAAAGTCCCCCTTCCTCTGCCTCCCCCTAGGTGATCCATGGATGCCATCTGTCCTGTCTGGATGCTGCTGTGCAAGGCCAGGGCTTCTGTGCTGCCCCTGCCTGGGACCCTGTCACAGGCTGGGGGACCCCCAACTTCCCTCTGCTGCTGCGTGGCCTCCTGGGCTAGCCTGCCACAGCGTGGGCCTTGCTGGTGGCTGGTTTTGCAATCAGGATGAGGGAGGGAACAGACAGGGTGGGTGGGTGGGTGTGACTGGGAGGCTTGCGACAGAGCCCCACCCTCTTTCTGAGCACAAGTGTTCCCGTTACCAGCTTCCCACTGGCGCTGCCAGGTCACTGCCGACAGTCTCTGGCCCATCTAGAAGCCTCGGCACTGAGTAGTATGGACGCTTCAGCAATATTTGGCGCAAGGGTTAGGGTCCACCATAGAGAAATTGTCCCAAATCCCAGGCCAGGTGGGGCTGTGGCAGGAATTCGGATACCAGCCTCAGACTCTGCTTGACCACATCAATCCCCCCCACAGGCCCCCCGAAAGCAAGTTCCAATGTCCAGTCATCTGCCTGGAATAAAAAGGACATCCTGAAACTCTGAAGTGCCTGGAAGAGGGTGATCGGGGGGGGGGGGGTCTCTTCTCTCCTGCTGACTCTCTTCAGGCTAAACCTTTCCACAGGCGAAGACACTCCCGCCAGCACTGACAGGGCAAGCCGCTAGTATATAACATGAGAGCAACCCCCCCCCCCCTTCCTTCCAGTACTGATGCGATTACCTACTTTGATCAGGAAATGTCTGCAAGGAAACCACCAAGCTCGGAGCACCAAGCCCCTCTCATTTCCACTCTCTAGTCTGTCTGGGTTCCCAGGCCCTTATCTGTGATGACCCAGGGTGGGATACAAAATAAACACAGTCACAAAAACAGGTGAAGACCCTTTTATTCCTTCACTTTGCTTCAAAGCTCCAAATATCCTTGACTGGAGACAAAAAAACCTCCCCCACAAGCAGTTACCAGAGGAAATGCCTATAAATTATAAAGAGTAAAAACAACACAAACCCCATTGAAGCAGTTAAGGGAACCAGGCAAGATAAGGGCTTGAAGATGTCCAGAGATATCGGAACACACACTGGGAAGGACGCCAAACTCAGAGGAACGACAGACGAGATATTTCCATGCTTTGTTTCCAGCACGGGCCCATACTCATGTCCATCCTTTTAACCAGTTCTCCCAGCTGCAGCCCATGAAGATGACCAAGGCCCTTTCCTCCCCCGTAGACCATGCCATTCACATCTCTCCCTTATCCTCCTCCCTGCATGCCCTAGGATGGAGAGGGGATGGGCCTGGGTCTTCCTCTGACTGCCCAGCCGGCCTCTGCCCTTCCCCAGCTTCCTCCACAACCTTCAGAGCCACACTTCACTCCTTGTCTGCTGTTCCTCCTCTCCCTCAGAGTCAGTCTCCAACAGGGGCATGACACTTATCCTTTATCTTTCCAAGTTCTCTGAATCCTAAAATGTATTATCCAGAGCTAAGTGCATTACACAAAAGAGAAGAAACTGAAGTTCCCAACCCCAAGTCTTGAGAAGCTGCAGATTGTAGAAACTGCACCGATTCACCCTAAAATTGCATTTTTACCTCTTCACACAGCTGCCTCCGGTTCCAAAGGTAAAAAGACTGAGTCGAAGGTGGGTGTTAGTTATCCCACCCAATTTTGTATTATGTATAGATTTGAATTGTATTTTCTCCATCAACACAATAATCAAGATCTATTTAGTGGATGGCAGACGGGCCGGAGCAGGGGATGAGGGTCCCAAATGGGAGACCCGGCAGAAGAGACGTTGCAAGCCTGAGACGGGATGGGGGAAGGTTCAAACTGACAGGTTTTTCTTTGGCGAGATTCTGCTCATCGGGCCGGCAAAGAAAGGCTGGGACTCTCTGGACCTCGATTGTCCCGTCTCTGGCCTTGAGAGAACCAGCCACGTAAGACTCGTTTCTGGCCCGGCAAACCTGCCTTGAAGAAATGGCTGCAATTATTGTTTCGGGACACTTCGAGGTGCGGCTTGGGTCAGAGCGCCAGTCCGGCTGAAGCACCGGCCTGGCCCTAAAGGGGGAGCTCCGCACGGCCGACTTTGTCTTCAAAGATGAAGGGCCGTTTCCAGGCGCATCTCGCCAGGCGACTCCCCGGGAGCGAAGGGGGCCCGGGAGACCCTCCCTCCCGTCCGCCCGCCGGATCTCCGGCCCTCCCGTGGAGGTCGCCGCAGGAACCAGCCCCGCCCCTTGAGCGGCGCGCCGGAGGGGAGGAGCCGCGTCCGCCCTGCTTCCGGGGGGAGGGAGACAGGCGCGCCTGCGCAGAAGCCGCCGCCGGAGCTTGCCGCATCCATGAGCGCCAGCGGGGCGGGCGGTAACAGTAGCAGCGGCGGCGCCGGCACGGGAGGGGGCGTCGCGGAGCCCGACCCCAGCCCCGCGGCGCCCGCGGCGCTCCCCCCGCCGCCGCCTCTCGCCGCCTCCGCCGGGGACGCGGGCGCCAAGGGCAGCCCGGGCGGGGCGGGGGCCGCCAGCGGGGCGGCCGG